TTCTTAATGTAACTGGCTATGTCCGCGGCCATCTTAGGCCAATAGAATCTGTCCCTAGCAAGCTCAATGGTACGCTCTATGCCCAAATGCCCCGCGTCATCATGCAAGGCCTTCAACACCTGAGGGCGGAACTGTTTTGGGAGGACGAGCTGTGATATCTCTTTTCCTGACACCTTACTGATGACTCTATACAAGACTCCATTCCGATGACTAGGTCGTGGCCACTCTCTCATTAGTAGATTGAGCTCTGTATTGTCACTTGAGGAGACAGCAGGACCCCGACCACTGACAAAGGCTTGTTTCACTTGGCTAATGGCATCATCCTGATTCTGAGCCAACTGCAGGTCTTTTACACTCAGCTGTTCGAAGGACTTAGCACTAACCCATGTGGGGTGCACATAGGCTTGAGGAATGCATTGGGGAGAGGCCCCCAATTGGTCAACCCCTCGCAACATAGTTCCAGGGAAATGGGTCAAACTGACTGTTTTACAGACCGCTTTCACCCCTGAAGGTAGTATCCACCCATCTTCCCCTGCCACATTCCTTGACAACAAATCTGCATCAATGTTCTCACGTCCAGGTCTATACTGGATTTCAAAATTATACGTGGCCAAAGCTGCCTACCACCTATGGCCACAAGCGTTCAATTTGGCAGAGGACAACACATACGTTAAAGGGTTGTTGTCAGTTCTAACTGTGAATTGCGCCCCATATAGATAATCATGAAATTTGTCAACTACCGCCCACTTTAACGCTAAAAACTCTAACTGGTGAACTGGGTAGTTTCTCTCTGAGGCACTGAGTTTCCTGCTAGCGAAAGCTACCGGGCGTAATCCTTCAGGATACTCCTGATTTAACACTGCTCCCAACCCATCAAAACTAGCGTCCACATGGAGTATGTAAGGCTTACTAGGGTCGGCAAAAGCCAACACTGGGGCATTGGTTAGGCAATCCCTTATCTTCACGAAGGCCTCCTCACACTCAGCAGTCCATCGGTCCCCAAAAGGTTCGGATTTACTCAAATACAGTTTGGTTTGAGTAGACTTAGATGGACGCCCTCTCTGGGGAGGGGCATAACCCCTGGTCAAGTCGGTTAATGGGCGAACGATGGAAGAGTAATGGGCAATAAATCGCCTATAATAGCCGCAAAAGCCCAAGAATGACTGCAGGGCGTTTAGATTAGTTAGCGGCTTCCATTGTGCCACTGCCTTCAGCTTGTCAGGGTCAGTGGACACACCTTCTGCAGACACAATGTGTCCCACATATTTAACTCGGGTTTGGCAAAACTGACATTTGTCGATGGACACTTTTAACCCAAACTCTTCCAACCTATCCAGCACTTTAAGCAGGCGCTCCTCGTGTTCCTCCAGGGTGCGGCTGAACACAATTATATCATCTAGGTAGACAATGCACTGCAACAAGTTCATATCTCCCACCACTCTTTCCATTAATCTTTGGAAAGTGGCAGGGGCCCCCGTAATTCCTTGTGGCATTCTCTCAAATTGGTAGAAACCCAGGGGGCAAATGAAAGCGGCTTTCTCCTTATCCTCCTCTAGCATGGGGATTTGATAATAGCCACTTCGCAGGTCTAACAATGAAAACCAACGGCTGCCGGTCATACAATCGAGAGCATCATCTATGCGAGGTACAGTATACTGAGTCCATTCAGAGGTGGACTTCCTCTTGTGCTTTGGATCATAGTTTTGATGCATGTGCCCACTACACAGTACTACACTACAATTAATTAATGGCTAATAAGGATAACAATATGTATCTCTTATCTTCTTCATGCATTATGTCACCAAATTTGAGCTGTATGTTTGGACATGGAAGCTGTTGTAAGGCCTTTGACCTGGGCTTAACCTAACAGATCAGTGCAAAACAAGTTACTCTACAGCACTCGTTTACTATGCTTTTTTTTTCATACACCCACCAGGTGGTGATGACACCTTAGTGTTTGGGCCCGTCGTCGTTGCTTGCAGCTATATTTGTGTCTTGTTCCTCCTCAGTGTCAATATCACATTCTGAGGTTTAGGTGAATGAAACAGAAACACATTAACAAGTTGTCACTCAGGCATGTATTGTCTTCAGTGCTTTAGACTTAGGGGTCCTGTCTTGCTTGGCTGTAGTGACATCCACACCAGGCATCTCTCATATTCTGAGCCCAACTGCACACAGAGCATAGGACATTAAAATACAGCCAGGTCCATAAGTATTTGGACAGTGACACAATTTTCATAATTTTGCCTCTCTACACCACCACAATGGATTTGAAATGAAGCAGTCAAGATGTGATTGAAGTGTAGACTTTCAGCTTTAATTCAAGGGGTTAACAAAAATACTGCATTAACCATTTATGAAATATAGCCATTTTTTCCCTATATTTTCACAAGCTCAAAAGTAACTGGACAAACTAATATAATCATAAATATTATGATTATTTTTAAATACTTAGATGCACTATCCTTTGCAGTCAATGACTGCCTGAAGTCTGGAACCCATGGACACTACCAAATGCTGAGTTTCCTCCTTTGAGATGCTTTGCCAGGCTTTTACTGCACTCACCTTCTGTTGCTGCTTGTTTGTGGGTCTTTCTGCCTTCAGTTTTGTGTTATGTTTCTTATTACTATTATTATTATTACTATTATTATTAGTAGTAGTAGTAATAGTAGTTCTATTATTATTAAACATATTTTTACATGCTGATAACATTGCTAACATGCGTTAGTAATATTTACCTTTATGGCATATTGGTTATCGCGATTACCGTGATAAATTACCAAATAAACCCACAATAATAATTTAACATATATGTCTAGAAACTAATATCATGAGCTACTTTGCAGTGAACTGTGACGGCTAACATTAGCTTGGGCGTATGTTTCTGTTAATAGGTACAGTACCCTTGAAAATTATTGAAAGGCCAATACTTTTGTTGTTACTGTACACTAAACACATTTCGGTTTCAGATATAGATGAATATGAGTCGACAGATCAGAATTTCAGCTTTCAGTTGATGCAAACCACTCATCAGCAGTAAGAATCAGGAGGTCAGATTGAAATTCACAAAGAAATACAGAGATGAGCCACAAAAGCTACCAAGTACCAAGATTAACTGCTACCAAAGTGATGGAAAGGCCTAATTGTGGAGAAATAAAAAAAAAAGGATCTGCTCATGATCCAAAACATACAAGCTCATTGCTTGGGCTTTCATGGCTGCTTCTGGAACAGGCTCACTAATCTTTATTGATGATGTAACTCATGATAGTAGCAGCAGAATGAATTCAGAAGTCTAAAGAAACTTTCTGTCTGCCAGTTTGCAGAGAAATGCATCCAATCTAATTGGGACAACAAAGGGAGAAAGGAGAGGAGACTGAAGGGAGGAATCCCCCAAACCTAGAAAAGCATCAGGAAAGAAGAATGCAACAGTTTGGTGATGTCATTGGGTTACCAGCTTGATGTAGTTATTGTAAACAAGGTATATGTAACCAAATATTAAGTGTTATTTACTTTAATTTTCTTTAAGACTATCTGTTCCAATGCTTTTGCTCACCTAAAAATTTGGTCTGCCACCAAAGGTGCCATGTTCTAAGTTGTTTAACACATTTAGATGTAAATATCAGGAAATGATATCTTTTGATCTCAAACCCAAATGTCTTTGTGTTTGCCGTTCCAATAGTTTTGGAGGGGAATGTTGTCTTCTTACTTTTATAGTACTGCATTTATAATGAAGCACACAGTTTGAAGCTTTTCTCCAGTTGCTCTAGGAGGGGCATTGCTTTTTATTTATTTATTTAAAAATTATTATTATTATTATTTTTTTTAACATATTTCTACTTACGTGAAAGTCTTGACATTTATTTCTGGGAGCTCTTGGAGACCGAGTATAAAATAGCACTATTGCCATTTACAGTGGATGAACCGGAAGTAGAGGAAAAAGGAAACTGCTTAAAATGTGGAAGTGTTTGTGCAAGTAGCCCACTGAGGGCTATGAGTCACTTACTTCTGAAGCACGTCTCTACTCTGCCACAGGATATAAAGAAGAGCACAAGCAACAAGAATGCTCCCAACAACACCAACACCAACACCAACCGCATGTTCAGTGTTCTGGGCTGAGTGCCCTAGATAAAGATAAAGATCTGAATCATTTTACAGTTCCATTAACATCAATATAGCACGGATGGTTTGGTCAGGGGTGTCCAGTCTTATCTGTGAAGGTCTAGTGTAGCTGCAGATTTCCAACCAGGTTCCCGCAGATACTGGGGAATGGGGAAAAGGTTCAAAATTGTTTTAATGGGCAACTTTGAAAATTTGAAATCGGCAAGCACATATAGGTGTGTTGGTCAGGTGTCCACAAACGTCTGTCCAAACTACTGTATTTTATAGCTACATTTTATCAGACTGTAGCTCAGGCTTGCCCTTACCTTTTGAGCAAATGTGTTTCTGCTTATAGCACTCGTTAGGGGAACTGGACGTTGGGTTTGACCATACTTAGTAACAAATAATTGCTCACTGTCACTGAAATATTATTCTATCCACAGATAGAATAATATAGTTTCCACAACTGGAAACAATATAACTGCTTTTTTTTGTTGTTGCATTTTTTAAAGAAAGAAAGCTTGAATACAGTAGCTTCGGTCTTAAAATTTTCAAGTCTTAGTTAATAATTTTAAATATTTAAAAAGTACATAACTAATGACTCTCATAAAATATCTGATTTACATGTGTTTTACTCACAAATTTTCAGTAGCTTTCAGCCGTGTATTTGTGATACCTGGATGGCCCTGTCCCAGCACAATACACAACGTTTTTATTTATTTTTAAGTGACATGTGGCCAAGTATGGTAACCCATACTTACACACACGCACACAGGGCAACTTTTTTTTTTTTTTTTTTTTTTTGCAGCAGTTGGGGGTTCAGTGCCTTGCTCAAGGGTCTCAAAGGTCATGGTATTGAGGGTGGAAGAGAGCGTTGGTCATTCACTCCACCCACCTACAATCCCTGCTGGCCTGAGACTCAAACCCACGACCTTCAGGTTCACCTTCGGGTTACAAGTCTGACTCTCTAACCATTAGGCCACAACTGTTTTTAGTGGTTGCTTTGGTTTCTGTCACTGGATGTGTCCCGTACCACATACTAGCATACAAAATTGTACACTACTGTAGGTTATCTGTTAGTATGTGGGGGCATACCTAGGGTTAGAATTCTTTTACACTGCCAATGTGAACTGGTAGTGTAGAAGACCAAAAACTTCGTCTAAAATGTACACTACAACAGGTGTAGTGGTATTGGACTCAAACAAGTTTTACATACTGTATATGTTCAAATGGGTCTAAATATAAGATTTGTCTGAAATAGCCTATTGGTGTGCTTGACCTTCACAGTATCCATGGTGCTGGTGCCTGTGGTGGACCATTCTCAGTACAGCAGTGACTCTGACATGGTAGTGTGAGGTGAACCTAGTTAATATTAGTGATAAAATCATTACTGTATGGTTATATTTTAAGGTGTTTGACTATTAAATAAATCACTGATGATATGATAATACAAATGGATAGGCTACTCAGACACTGAAATCTCATTTGTGTTGACCAAACTTTCCTTGTTGGTGGGGTAGTACCCTCATGGGTACATCTTTTGTACCTTTAATATGTATCTTTTACCTTGAAAAGTAGTGTACTTTTAAAGATTTACTCTAAAAGGATTTATGGTCCAATTTAGGCATGTCACGATAATTACGTTATCAACTTATCATAAGATATGGGTCCCTGGAGGACTAGTGGTTAGGCCACGGCGCTCTCACTGCCGCAGCCTGGGTAGAATGCCCAGCCAGGGAACCAACCCCAGCCACTGCGGTTGCACAAGACAGTGTCCTCTCAGTGCAGATCTCAAGCCTGGATAAAACTGGGGAGGGTTGCATCTGGAAGGGCATCCAACTTAAAAACTGTGCCAAATCAAATATGCAGACCAATGATCTGCTGTGGCGAAACCTAACGGCAGCAGCTGAAAGAACTACAAAAACTTATTGTATGAGATACGGACATGAGCTCGATCGTTTTTGCTGACCTCGATACTGCCCATTGTGTTTACATGCGTGTTTGTTTACGCAAGACCGAATGTCATTTTAGCCATTAGCATTGCTTCTGTCCTCGTGTCTGCTCTAGGGCTGTCAAATTAAAATTCCAACTTTGAATATTCGTCGAATTTAAGATAAAAATGTGAATGCAAAAACTGTGCGCATTCAAATTTAAGATGTGTAACAAGCACTAGCACCGATTTTTATTCAAACATACTGTTAAGATATTAACAATGCACTAACAATTTATTTTATTTAATAAGTCCCTTTATTTATGCATTTGCATCATTGGTAAGTTCACAGTTTTGTGTGGTAGGAAAGATTCTGTAAATATTTCACTATAAGTACATAAATACAGTATTACTATAGACATATATAGAGTCAGGACCATAAAAGTTGGGACAAAGTTATTGTTTTATTTCTTCTTCATGTTTTTACATGTTTATTCAGTATCAACTAACAATGTTTTTTTTTTTGAAGAAGAAGAATCTAGAAAGAGTACTTCTACTGTGTCAAATAATTCAGTCCTAGTGAGTAATGTCGGGGATTGACCCGCTGAAGCTGTGTGAGTTGAAGCTGAACAGTGAATGAACGCTGGTAAACTGAAGCGCTTTACTAGCAGCTTAATTAACTCACCCAAACACATCCTATACACAAATTAATCAGACATATACACAACATAAACCTATAAACTTGCTTCTGCAAAAAATAACGTGACTGCACAAGTGAACCTGAAGTGAAGTCACGCTGTGAATCTGCTCTTTCCGTAACAAAGCACTAAAACAATGAAGCGCTAAAGCATAAAGAATTCACAATATTGTATTACAGTAGTGAACTCACTGTAATGTCATTATTTCAGCAGCTCCGGTTTCACAACAAGGGCATTTTTCACATGTTTTTTGTTTAATATATAAAATGTGTGAATATTTGGTTTAATACTTGCGTTTTCTCATCAACTAAAATGCTGTTGACTAATATTCAATGCCATTTTAGTCAGAGTAATACTGACTAAATTTAATAAATATGACATGATGAAATATTGACTAAATTTAAAGGATATTTTCGTCAGCAGACAAAAGCTATGACTAAAAACAGTGTGAAAATTAACACTGGAACTGGCCCAAGAGCCGAGGTTAAATCTTTTGATTTTATAATTTTACAATTTTATGCACTTTAGTTTAAAAATAAAGGCACTTTATTTAACAGCCAGGTTTGTTCTTTGCAATAAACAGTAAACAATATAATTTATTCGTTGCGCTCTCTTGTGGACTGTTGATTTAAAAATCTGGTGTTTGTTTACTTTCCAATTCCGATGTCTGAATATTGTTAAGAATTAAAAGTTCATTGCTCTTTGAAAGGATGTACTTGCATTTTTATGCTATTATATTATCATTATCTCAGTAGCATAAAATGGTCTGAAAATGACAATAATATCATTTATGGCAATTCTTTCTGGTACAATATAACATCCAACAAAAGTAGTTATCATGACAGGCTAGTCCAATTATGTACTTTAAATCAGTTTTTAAAATATGCTACAGTCTGACCACATTTCCAGGTGAAAGGTACAGTACATATTAAAGGTACAAAAGATAGGTCTACCACACCAGCAACAAGGAAAGGTACAGTTCAGTACCCTTTTACTGAGAGTGTAGAAACATCCTGTTCTATTTCCAGAGTTGGTTATTGGTCATAATATAATGGAAAAAATGCAGAAAAATGCAGATGTTGCCCTGCCAGAATTTGAGTGTGACAGCCCTGACATAGTGGTTTTATGAATATGAAATAATTAAAATACTGCATCTTAACTGAGTGGACCTAAGCATTACAACAGATAAAGGTGTGCAGCAAAACAAACCAGGTTAAAGTTGGGCTAGAGTGTCTGTGGGACTCCTTCAGAACCACTCTTGGCTATGTCTCTGACTGATGAGGGTGATCAAAACATGGTTTCATATAAAATATACCATCATAAATGTACTCTGTGTACTATTAAAGAAAATTAATGTTCCCTCAGGTTATAGCTGGGGTTATGAAAAGAACACTTTTTAAGTTTTGCATTTACCAGAGATTAAGCTACTGTCTAATCACTCTGGGCATATACAAATATATGAAAATATTAAAACAGGCTAACAAGAAATCTCAAGGTAAATAACTAGGTGATTTTGATTAAACATAAAACTAGGTAAACAATATGCAGCTACAGTTAGTGTTACAGGATCAAGAATATTTAATGGTGCATTTATTTTTATTAAACATAAACAATTATTATCATTGAGAGCAAAAATTTTCCTTTACACTGACTTTCACTTTGCCAATGAAAGGTTTCTTTAATGCAAACATACTCACCTTCAGGAGGTGGATTTGTGGGACAGACATCTGTAAGGAAGAAAAGTTCAAAATCTGAGCAATGTGTTTTGAAATCATTTTTTGTATGCCAGCACCATTTTTTGTGTGTGATTTAGTCTTGTAAATATTTTGTTTGTATTAGACGTCTTCGGAATGACTTTAACATTATACTCACAGGGACAGTTGATGGTTTTCTGTGGAGATAAAAACAGAGAGACGGCTAAACACATTCAATCATTAAATCACATCAGTTCAGATAGTACACAGTTTGTTGTTATTACAAAGGACTTGATCTAGAAGGAATAAGCTATTCTGTTTTTACATTAGTGACTTATTACTGAGAAATAAAACACAATTAGTTGTGCTGTTATTGGAAAATAATCAACGATGTTGTGGTGTGATGTGCCTCAACCTTAGTGGTGAATGTCGTCTGTGTGATGTGGGGATGTCATTATCCACACTGTCTAAGAGGTGATGAGGATAAAACTTTATTACTCACCCCAGTAAATTCACTCCAATAGGTAACATTCTCATAGCAGTTCTTGAAGATGACATAACGAGGACCTCGGCTCTGAACAGTGGTATCATTCAAACTTTTATCATTGGCCTGAACAATATCCTATAATATACAGATACACGTACTTGTTCAAAATTTAGTTTAAAAAAATTAAAGGGCTCATATTTACTTTTGTTACATCACTACTGTGTAGCTGTTTGTGTAGTTTAGTTGTGGATGGACTTAATTATTTTTAGTAATTTTCCTAAATGCTAGTGTGTCATAGACTAGTGCTTACATACTAGTGTGAATTCATGTGTACTGGGGCATCAGTTACTGGGGCAGTTTACGTTTGCAGCTTTTATTTTCTGTCCTGATAAGTGAAAGTGAAAACTTATTTTATTTCTTATTTCTTACTAAGCAGTGGAATTGCTTAATAGAAATAACACAATGACATAATTCATGTAACATCAAAAAGGGGGTGTGGGCAGCATCAAACAGGAACCTGACCCCAAAAGTATTGAAATAGGAGAAATGCTTTGGCTAGTTTTGCTTATAAAGTTAAAAAATTCACGACATATTACACATATTTATGATGCATATATCACTGTTACAAAATAAGCTTAAAGTTAGCTCAAATGATGTATATTTATAATTTAATCATTTTCTTGATGTCATTAAAAATGGTTTTCAGTCTTGAGAAAATGGTAAGCCTTGCTTCTTTATAACAAGAAATATATATCTTTTTCCTTTACATGTATAAAGTCAACATATTGACTATAGAAATATACTGGATCACATCAGGAGGATATTGTTTTTTAATGGCAAGAAAGCTTAGGCAATGTGGAAATGAAAAAACTGTCTGAAAAACATATTTCAGAATTCACCCTATATGTTATAATATATTAGATCATTTTATTATATAAGCTTATTGGTAATGCATCAGAGACTAAAATAGAATATCATCATTTTGTACTTGTTGCTACAATGGAAGGCTATCTTTGAAATTGCTTACTAGCTAACATGCAAAGCCGCACACACTCGACATCATGACTGAACTGAACTGAACCTTACTGGAGATGCAGGATGACTAAACAAATATTCAGCCACTACCCCTTCCCGAGACCCAAACGATGTTTTATATATTCCAGAGAATTAAATAATAAAC